GGGATAAGGTCCCTAGAAGCCTTCTTGGATGTCAGTTCCCTTTTAAAATAGGTTTTAGGCGTGCCTGCAGTGTTTAACAAAGTAAGATAACCCCCCCCCCAAAAAAAAAACCCTTTCATTTCTCTCTCTCTTAGGCAGTCTATGTAACCTGCAGAGAAAGTTAAAAGACCCACCATATTTGACCAATTTTGGCATGGTGTGTCCTATGTGTACTTATGGAAAACATTTAGAAGTATATATTTTATTGCTGAAGAAAACAGAGGATTGAAATGCATTCTGTTTCTGTCCTCTTAAATATGTATGTTCTGTACAATTTTATTATAATATTACATTATTATGCAACAGCTACAATAAGACAGCCCTGGTGTACTTTACATTATTTTAATTTTTTTTATTAAATGTGTTTACATTGATTAGGTTGAGTATGCCTTACCTTTTTGCTTTTCGGTCATTTCCCCCCTTTCTCTTGGCTTTCTGTCATGGCTTTACGGTTGTTGTTTGTGTGCCTTCACGTCCTTTCTAACTTACAGTGACCCTAAGGCTTTTTCTTGGCAAGATTTGTTCAGAAGGGGTTTGCTTTTGTCTGAGGCTGAGGGAATGTGACTGGCCCAAGATCACCTAGTGGCTTTTCATGGTTGAAGAGGGATTCAAACCCTGTTCTCCAGAGTCCTAGGTACTCAAACCACTACATCACATTGGCTCCCGGCTTTAAGCTTAGACAGAGCAATATCTTAAAATGCAGCAGAGGGTGCTGTACCATCATCTATTACAGTGTGAGTGCTGTTTCTTATGCTGTTCAAGTGTTAAAAATCTTCCTTCAGCTGTCCAGCAGAGGTTGCAAAAGTGCAAAGTAGTTTGCCTGAATATGAAAAGCTTTTGGTAAGATCTCATTATTCCTGCTTGGGATTATTTGCTTGGGATATTTTATTTTATTTTATTTTATTCAGATAAGTCTTATTCGTGTGATTTTGATTCATAGGAAATTAGTCTTGCTGGGTCTAAGACCTTTCTCCATCTTTTTTAATGTCCGTTTACAAAACGTGTTGAGCATGCAACGTGTGTGTGTGTTGTGTGCCTTCAAGTGGCTTCTGACTTATGGTGACTCTAAGGCAAACCCAGTGGGTTTCATGGCAGAGTAGGGATTTAACCCTGGTTTCCAGAGTCATAGTCCAACACTCAAAACCACTATGCCACACTGGCTCATTTGAACCCGCATAAGATTTGAACAGCTCCTTACGCACTGATTTGCTCCTGCATATCATCCCAAAGCCTTTCTCACTCTCTCCATGTGGTTCCAGATGCATGTTTAGATTTACATGGATGCTGACGGGCTGGGAACAGATTTGAGGAGAATTACAAGGGAAGTTAAATATAGCAAAATAAAACAAAAAAACAGCACAGACACCTTTATTAGGCAAACCAAAAGGGACAAAATACATTGCAAGTTTACAAAGCTCACAGACTTCTTCATTAGACATGGATTTATAAGTTACTTTAGGTGACAATAAAAGGCCATAGGGCTGTATCTTTATTGAGATGTTAAAGATCAGTATAAGGTGGAGGTGGAGGGAGATTTGACGCAGGTAAGGCATGCATCCCTGACAACAAGGCATTTATGACATAAAAAGTCAAGTGAGTAACCTTTTTTCTGTATTTTAAGAAACAAAGCCAATTCCTTTTAAATCTAGTCCATATTAGTCCTATGCAAGGTTACATGCCCTTTTGTTTGTTTCTACAGCAAATCCCTTGGGAGGCCTTTGTATTGACACATCTGGAGACAAAATTGGGTATTGTAAAAGTAAAATGTGCCAATGATAGCCAATTTCAAATTTTTAGAGCCACTCCAGACAAAAAAAAAAAGGTCTCTAAAAGTTCCAAGTTTTGTTCCTTTTCAACCAATTTACTTTGGGAATCTATATGACTTTTTCTACATCCCAAAGTATTTCCTGGGAATTCCAAGGAAATTACCAAGGACTTTTCATTCTTACTTCCTCAGGCAGTTTAAATTAATCCTATACTTTCCAAAATGACCCGTATCACTACTTGACTGTCTGTATTATTCCAGAACTAGCTAAGATAGTTGTTCTCAAACACAGCTATTGTTTCCAAGATGCAGGTTCTATAGAGCTCAAGTGAGGGAAAGAGAAATGTTTGTACCAAAACAAAATAAGTCTAATGTTTTAACTATTGTAATACTGCTAAAATACTTTGTCACTTCATTACTTCTGAATAAAAACAAAGGTGTCTCGTTGGAAATTAGCAAAAATCAATTTCTGATACATTGCTTGAGTCTAAATGTGACATGCAATCACTGGAAGGGAAGGGAGGGAAATTTCAAGAAAGTTTGGCTATAAACCTGAGAATGGCCAGGTAAAATCGAAACAAAGAACTAGAAACTCTCAGTACTTTCAGATATTTTTGGATGAATCTCAAGTTGAAGGTAAAAACTTTGGAGACAAAAAAAGGTTACATCCCTCCCCCCCCCCCCCCACTTTTTTGATGAATTCTGCCCTCAAAGTAACTCCTCAAAGCATATTGACTGCAAAGATTCTGCTGGTTCCAAACCTGTGCAGAATGCATTGGACCCAGTGCTGGGGAAGTTACTTTCTAAAAGTATTATATTCTATCACTTTGTTAACCGCTGCCTTAGCTCCTATATTTGGAGATAAGTGGGATAAAATGTAAATAAAGCATATTTTTTCAAATAAAAATATAAAAAGCAAGTCCCTTCTGTTACTTATTGCACTTTTGAAAAAGTAACGCATTACATGGAGTATTGTTACTTTTCTATTGCTTTCCCTTGCTTTGCTTGGAAGAAAAGACCTTAGGACTGATGGAATGGCATAAAACCTTAAAATTTTCAAAGGTAACAATCTTAATGGTTTCACTAATAAAGTAACTTCAATCTTATTCATTAAATTATTTCTGATGTATGCTAATTTCTTGTTATCAAAGAAATGACACTAGAGGTAACTTATTTGCAACTTACAACTGCCAACTACTGCTCTGGGTTCAACCCTAGAAAAGCCACAGAGTGGTGTGTTTTTTACACACACATGTCCAAAAAACTCAAAAAAAAAACGACACATCGGACCACATTTCAGAAACTTTCACAGCCAGTTCACTACCATCATAAAGGGTTTTGTATTTTCTGGCTGTTAACAGACTCTTAGTTCTGTTGCTTTTTCCATTTCTAAGGGATGTCAGAAATAGTTTATTTTATGCCACTGGGGAGTACAGTAGTTGTCAAGGAAAGTAGTTGAAAGCCATGCTGGGCACATACAAGCCTTCCATATGCCTAACAGGCTTTTGGGATTTGTGGCTTCTGTGTTAAGGTATGCAACATACTTTTCCCTTTACATAATAATGGAAACTTGTAATGTGTGCTTAGCTGAGCTAAAAGTTGGGTGCAGCTTTAATAAAATATCTTCCCAGGACTGCTTATTTTAACAGAAATATTCTGTAGTCTTTTCCAATAGTTTCCAAAAATGTTTTACTGCAACTTGCATTCTGGCAGTCCAAGGCAATATGGTGACTAGGAGGCATTCAGACCCTAGCAGGGCAATTGTGACAGGGATGCTATCATTAAAATATTTCTACACTATCCTATATAAAAAATGTCAGAGAGGTATATACGTGAGGCTAATACAAACAGGTTAAAGTAGTTTAAAGCAATAAAAATAATTTAAGCCACAAACATGAAATGGAATTAACAAATTAAAAAGCAGATTAAAACGTGCATTAGCATACGAGAGAAATCAATGAAGGCCAAATGCTTAGATGAAAACGTCATGTTTTTTCAGTTGCTGGCTAAATGAAAGTAGTGTTTGCACCAGTTGGGCCTCAGATGGGAAGGTATTTCACACCTGAGGTGTCATGGCTGAGAAGGCCCGTTCCCTTTTCCTAATACTGTTTATTGATCTTGCTGGTGGGATAGAGAGGAGACATGCCCCCCCTTCAAAGATTTCAGGCTGACACAGGAAGAGGTGCTCCCTCAATGTATTTAGAGGCATAATCATCCATAGCCCTGATCAAGTCTTGCAAACTCAGGGCCATGCTTCCTTTAGGAATCAATTCATCTACAATGTGGTCTTCTTTTCCTTCTACCTTCCATGTTGTTCTCGGGTACCTTCAAATCATTTCTGACTCTAAGGTGAACTTGTCACAGGGCTTTCTGGGGCTAAGAACGTGTGATCTGTCCAGTGGATTTCCATGGCTGAACAGGGAATTAAACTCTGATCTCCAGAGTTGTAGTCTAACACTCAAGCCACTACTGAGTGTTATTGCTTTTTTCAATCAGTCATGATATCCAGAGAATATGTACATATGAGCAGATACCAACTTGCCATGAATTTCTGAAATACATGTTATCACATGCCTCTAAATCAGTGGTAGGCAAAGTGTTGCCCCCCTGGGTAAAAAGGGTTTTGCAAAAACATCTTTTTTCCCCCAGTTACAGGGTACCCCCAGATGCTCTCTAGGAGGGTTGGAGGGCATTTCCACCATGTTGGAGGCCCAGGGGAGGCCTTTTTTGAAACATGAAACATGATGAAAATGCCTATGTAGCCTAGAGACACTTGGGGGCTCTTTCTTTCTTTCTTACAGGAGCAGGTGTAGCCCTGCAAGGTCTCCTAAGAGGCTAATACAACTCCCCTAAACTTCCACATTTGCCCACCCCTGCTCTAAAAATATTTATTGAAGCGTCTATGTGGTAATAGCTTAGTTGTCTAACCATGATCTACCAAACAACTGTATTTCTTCTATCTATGATTTTTCCCCCTCTAATTCCATGTTCTTTAATGTCCAACAGCGCTTTTTCATATAGTTGTCTATATTGGAACCAACCTAATTTAAATCCCTTTTCCTGCATCTAATCTTCAGTAAGAATTTTTATTGTCCCTTTTTCAAATTTCACTAAGTCTTTATAAACAACTGTATTTCTGTAACTATCAAAAAGCCTTCAGCAGCATTGTTCCACTTAACTCAAGAGAATAGAAATGTTGCTAGATTTTTTTTTTCCACAGTTGGTAGACATGCAAGACTTAGCTTCCAAACCAGTATATATTTAGTGAAAGGCCTAATTAGTTATGTCATATAATTGACATTCTGGGTATACAAAAATGTTGATAATTACAAGGATTCCATTAAGAGTATTGCACTAAAATTAAAAATGACTGCATTTGGGGTAGGCATGGCCTGTCATTAATAGCTGTATAAGGTGAAGAATGCTTGGCAAATTATTCATGGAAAAAACAAAATAAACTTATTTGCTGATCAGCCAGTTTCAACAGCATTCTTTCTCTTGGGGAGTTAAACAAACTACAAATGAGCTCTCTGAATGCTATTTAATGGCATAATTTCTCCCAAAGGATCAGCAGCATAACCATGTTTTTGAGGAGGAAGCTGATATTTTAATAATCAAATGGAACTCTTCGAAAGGAGCCAAAGGCAAGTTGGAGACACCTATAGGAGAAACTCCAAACCATGTTGAAACAACTTCACTTCCCGATGACAGGAAGACTGGGTACTAGTTCTTGCTCTCAAAGACAAGAAACCAACAGCTAACTCAAGTGTGACCAGTATAGAAACAAATGGGAAGCTAGTGTCTTAAGATTAAGCTAGGATCACGAGAGTCAAGAACTACATGACTGTATGGACAATATACTCAAGAAGATGAAGAACATGAAAGCGAAGGATGAATTTTCATTTTAATTGGATTCTGGAGGGAGAAGGAAAGTAACATGACTCCATTCCTAATAGGAAATCTGCCCAAACCTTAAGCTCACAAATAATGACTTGGTACACAACCAGAGTACCTCAATTCTGTTTTCAGAATCCAAGGTCCTTAAGGTATATATAGTAGTATGTTTCGCCCACTATTTTGAAAAATAAAGTCCTCTAAGCACTTTAAGCCTATGGAGGACAGGGACATTTTTATTCCAGATGTCTCACCAGAAGTGCTGCAGAGGAGGTAAGCTATGCATACCTTCACAACAAACTCTGGGAAGCAGGAATCTGGTACCAGTAGGGGTACCTGTTCAACATTGTAGTACTGCAAGGAAGAAAAACTGTCCTGGCAATTAATTCATCCCACACTAAAGCAGTAGGTTAGACCCTCAACCTAATCTGTCTCCAAAGAAGAGCTGAAATCTTTCCCCAAGACAGAGATGGATTGCATTACCAGGACCCCAAGCAAAGAT